AATCTGACTTAAAGTCCTGTGAAAAGTCAAAATCCGCCTCAGATGCTACTTGTATCGTAGATTTATTCTCGGCCTCCTCCTTGATAGCCTCTACCTTAAACTTCTTGCTTGTATTCTTCGGCGTCGGTTTAGTCTTAGGGAGTTGCTTGCGTTTCTTCGGAGACGCACTCTCTTTTTTAACTAAAGGTTCGTTCTTGGCGCTAAGAATATGTGCGGTTCGAAGAGGTCGTCTGGGTTGTTGTCGCTCGTAAGAGAACAAAAGATTAAAGAGTACTTAAGGTGATGCAATCGCCTTGTTTGGAGATATCGCATGGAGGATGAGCAAGTGGGCATAAAGATCAGGGACTGGAAGACTCTTGATTCTGCTATCTAAGGTGGGAAAGAGGCGAGATCTTTATAGACTGCCTGAATATGAGAATGGAAGGAATGGTAGTGAATGGAAGCATCTGATCGGATCATCTGAAGCCACTGATGCGTTGATGATGCCCTAGAAGTTTCTGTGGGGAAATGTGGAAACGGACTGTGCGAATAGGGGTCAGACTGTTGGAGGCTGATATCCTATGTGTGGGGAAATCGAGCGAAAAGGTCAAGCAGGGATGTCGTCTCGTATGCTTGTGATGGATAATACGAGATCGAGCCTGGATTGTTTGCTAAGCAAGCTGATAGGAGCTTCCAGTCGCGATCGATTAAAGTCTCGTCGTTAATGGCTCTGCGAATAATCTGTTGAATCATGTCGGAATGTGACGGGAATTGCTTGGCTGGTTCGGAAAAGAAACATGTGTAACCTTCCGTACAAGACTAGGATATCCTACGTGATACTTCTTTACAGGCAATCCTTTATTATCGATGATTCTAAAGGACGCACAATAAAAGTTCACCGTTAGATCGAAGGGCTGGAGCATTGATCGCTTTCTTGTTGCCTGCGCACTCTCAGAGCGATGGGTGTTGCCCTCGTTCGTGGCCGTAACGAGTTGACGTAATCCATTTGTAGACTTTATAGCTGGGACTGTCATCGCAGGAGCTATCTGTCGTTCTGTTTGACTATCGTCGGAAGTGAGATCGATCGTCTGCGCGTCATGGTCGTTGGATCTCGAGCTTTGTATATTCGTCCGGACGGGAACTTGTCGAGACTGTCGGGTAAGGAGATTTCCGCAATAAGACAGACTGTCCATAATGGTTGACTAAGGGATACTGCCCGATGGGAGTATCCGTCGCCATCTAAGTATCATCAGCCATTGCCTCTTAATAAGTTAATGACGAAGAGGTGGTAGATGCGAAGTAAACGAATTTTCTTCGTAATCTTAATGGAATACTTTTAGTTTCAAAGTGTGTAGAGCATAAATGCAGATAAGGAGTGGAGTTTATTTAGTCATCATTATATGAGTTGTGTACCATTATCTCAACCCATTCCTGGAATTTTCTCCCAATTATCTGCCACTGCCGAGGAGTAATTGACTGTAGGTCCTCGCTTTCTTGGAGAATAGCTATAGTTCTCCTCTGTTTGATGATGACCTAAGACGATTATTAACGTACCTCACTGAGTCATGCAACGCACCACGTCATGCAACAAATTGCCCGACCGGCAAGCCAGAGCGAAAATTAATCCTGCAACCGACACAACCATTTAAAATACTATTAAACATTACAATATGTGAAACACTTCATACAGAGTCTATCTATATGATGGTTTTCTTAGGAAATATGAGCAGGCGGTCTTGTGGTCCGCCCAGACCTGAGAGACTGAGAAACCGGCCTCCATACTTCCCTGCGCTTCCGTCGAACGGGAGGTATGTCTTTACCCCTAAAGCTCCGGGACTGTGGTCTCGAGCCACAAGCTTCAGAACCAATCTTTACCCTTTCTTCCTCCGAGTTGTTGCGTGGTTGAATGCCCGTCGCGCAAACCCGCTTCCAACGCCCTCGTTTTCTCACCGCTACCATGTCTTTTGTGCCTCTTACACCAGGCTTTGACGTAGCAGCTACCTCAAACTTGACTTCCCGAATAGCCTGGCGTTCAGCCTCGCGTGCAGACCTCTCTGCTTTTAATTTTGCTGCGGCCTCCCGTTTCTCAGCTCGCTTTGCCTCGCTCTCGCAGCACGCTCTGTCTTCTCTCAGAACGCTGCTCTCGCAAGGCCTGACGCATTGCAGCCCGCTGTTTTTCTTCTCGGCAGATTCTCGAGCCTTTTCTTCACGTGATATGGCTACCTGGAGTCGACGATCTTCAATGGCTTGCTTGCGCTGCTCGTCGGCCTGTGCCTTGTCCGTCTGACGTCGCCGCGCCAGTTCCACCTTGGCTGGACTGAAAAAGACCGGCTGGCCACCACTTTCTTCCAGATTGAAAAGGCCCAAGGCCTTTCTGCGTTTCCCTTTTTTATGTGCAAGTTTGAGCGCTTCCTGTAGATCTCGATTTTCGTGTTGTACGAGCTCATATTGTGTCGCCAGTTTCTCTGATGCTCGGAGAGCGCTGTGACTCAGGAGTCCATCAGCCCTTCCTTGCGGAGACGGCGGGTAATGCGCCGAATAGCCCGAAGAGAGCCTGGAGTCTTCATCGCCCTTTCCTCAGATGCAGTTTGTGGGGTGTCACATCACTGCTGTGGCTAATCTTGGACAATACTTTGCCGGGGTCAGTGGATGGATTCTGTGGCCCGCCAACCAGCCTCGATATTTTTGGCCGTAAATGCCTGGTTCCCGCATCACGAAAGAGTGGCCAAAATTCCGTTTGGTAGGCGAATTAACCCCATCCAATGGACATCAGCTGGTCGGAACCTTGAGCATAATAGGTGGAGAGTGCGGAAAACAGGCCAACATCGAGTGGTTGAAGCCGATGAGTTGAGTGCGATGGCAACACAGCAATGAGAATTCGATTCCGATCGGCATAGTCAATGAATTTCAGGTTAATGTGACTATTGTGACCGTCTAAAATTAAGAGACGGTAGGCACGACCAGCCTTTTGCTTCGTATGGCAGTCAAATATGCGCTGAAGCCAGTGTAAACCCAGTGCATCACAGCTCCAGCCGTTTTCCGTACTGGCGAAGAAGGCTACTTCGCTGGAATGGTCAAAATCCTCAAGCCAAGTATCTTGAAAGTCTTTTGACTCCCCTTTGTAAATGAGGGCCGGTGGCAGGTACGAATAATCTGCACATATGGCAGCGATCAGCGTGATGAACTCCCGGTTCCCGTCTTGGCTTGCCCCGACCAGTTTTCCGCGCCTGAGGGCTTCTCGGGGGACAACTCGCTTGGTGGAGCGAGAGAGACCAATTTGGAATCCTTCTCGTCAAAATTATAAACATTTGAGGGACTGATGTTGTACTTTTCGATCTTTTCGCGGAGCTAGTTGGATTCGGTCAGAAATGGCGACTTTACGGCATTTGACCGAGTATTGTCGGCAGTATACCCCTTGAAATGACGATAAAAAGCAGTCTTACTAGATTGAAGAAGTTTTGGAAATGCCTGGAATTATCAGCAGCCTTCCGCTGATGATCTATGGTGCGCAAATACAAGCTCGAAAGACGGTCATGGTGTCGCTTGCGGAAGCGGCTCACCCAGTTGACACCAAGCTCTGTCCCTGCGATTTCCTCGGCGATATTCTTCAACATCTGAGGGGTAGGCGGGATACCACGGTCGGTCAGCTTATTGACGCCCAATAAGAATCTCCTCCTGCGCGCTGGTGAGTTTCTGTCGCGAGTAGAGTTCGCGTCGTGATTTGAGGCTGTTTTGCCTTTGAAGCGGCGCCACAGCGTGGATTTGTCGATATTGTATCTCCTCGCGGTCTCTGCATATTTAGGGCGATCTTGGGATTGCAGTTCTATAATTGCCTCTGCAATACGAGGTTGTGATCCATATCGCGTCAATTTGAAGAAGACGCGTCAGGTGTTGAAAATTGTTGCATGACCTAGTGCGTTGCATGACGCAGTGGGGTACGTTAGTTGAATCTTTTCCCTTTTCTTTTTATAGGTAGAACTAGAGTGTTACAGTGTAGTTTGCATAGCGACCCACGAGATGAGTACGTGCAATTCGCGCATGCACCTGACCTAGCATTTCAGAGTGTAACAGCCTTGAAACACCCCATTCCCTTTATACACTGGACACAGGAGCTTTCGGCTGATCACCGAATATAAATATCAAGGCGGCATCGAGATGTTGGCTTCTGTAAGCAAGTCGATGCGAATGTGATATACCTTGCCTCGCCTTCGTATTGAGACATATAAAGCGTTTAGGGGCTGTAGATAGCAATCTCTCGACCTTGGACGAACGGACTTGATACACCTTAGACAACGCCCATGATGTAAGTTCAATGCTAGTTATTGGTTGTTGTGCAGTAGGAGGAATTGATGGGAGGAGAATACTGTCAATCGTGATAGCTTGCATTTTTAATATTCGTCCACGCAAAATAAAGTAGGGGAAGAAAGAAACGTGACTGTAAAGATCTGCTATAACTTCGTCATATATGCAATTAACCCTGCTTCTGCTAAGCCGATATTTAAAATGGGCCATAACCTCTATGGTCACAGTAGGGTATACGTAATGACAAATTTTCTTCCCAAATGCGTTTTGAGACAGTCTGGCCTACAGTCGCCCGTGGTCCCTTCCCCGTCAGCGGGTTCCGGCACGGCAGTAAAGCCGTAATATTAGTCAGTCTTCGGTCAGAGCCGGGTGACTGAAAGCCCACCTTAGCTTGGCTGGTGAAGGTGAACCGGAATCCAGAAAAGTGGGGCGTGGCACGGTAACGACGACTGCCTGTCGCACAAGGCAAACCGTCAATCATCCCTCTCTTTTGCTTTTGCTTGCCCAAAGGGCCCATCTTTTCCGCCTCGTTCGCTCGCTCAGGCAACAGGCCGACGTCAGACGAAGCCCAAGCGCCCGTTTCCCCTACGAGCTTCGCCGTTGCCTCACCATCTCAACGAACCTCGTTGGCCTTAGCCAAACAGTCGGAATAGACAGGATCGAGGACGAATGCGCGCGCCCTGGCCGCCTGTCGCCGGGCTGAAGCTCGATCGCGGCTGATGGCAGAACCCCTGTATCATGATGCGCTGGCCGACGAGTTGGTCGTCCAGGAAGTCATTCTCGACTCCCTCCAGGGCGAACACTTCGATGGGGCCGAACAGGAGCGCCAGGAGGCGAGGCGCGAGATTGCCAGGTTGAGGGCCCTTCTCAGTCAGCCGCCGGGACCTGCTCAAACCCCCAACAGGGACTCGAGCTGCGATGGAGGTCAGTATCCTCCCTCGCTCTCCTCTGTTCAGCCTCCGGAATTCGGCGCTGACTCGGTGAGGATAGACGGCCGTGACGATGCCCAAGCCCAGAGCCGCCATTCTCTGCCCACCTCGACAACCCCAACAGGTAAGCTCTGCTTTTCCCTCGCCCAACCTCGCCTGTCTGTGCTTCCCTGTCCATCGCCACTTCGTTTTCCCTTTCGCTGCATTCTGTTCTTTACTCCTCCTCTTTCCCCTTTCTGAACTCCAACCGCATCCTCTACCCAGTGGAATCATCCTAGTTGCTATTCAGCATCTAAGCTCTGACGACCACCTGCTTAGTTTGTGTGCATCTTTCAACCCTTTGCCGCCATATTGGCGCCTGCCAGGTCAAAGAACACCTCACTCGTCATTGTGGCGCATTTCCCTTAGCAAAGCTTTGCCGCACTCAAACACCGCACACCCATTCCTTGGCATGACATTTTGGGCTCCTTGATTTCCTCTCGATTCCGCGCTTGCGCCTTGTTTCATCCGCCTTGCTGACAGCTGCCCCTCCAGCGCGACTATCCGCCAGCGTGGAACCAGCCAGTTCGCGCCGTAGCTCGGCGGCATTTTCGACTCGCACGCTCAGGATGGACAATGACATCTGGAGAAGCCCAGGTGCCCGCTCTCTGCCGAGTCGCAAGCGAGTGTGAATCGCCGCTCCTGGGCATCGCTAGAGGAACGGCCAAGGCTCGACGCATCACCCCGACGCCTCAAAGTAATGGATTCGCCACACCGCAAGACAGCGCCAGCAGTGTCATAGACATTATCGACCTTACTGGGCACGCCAGCTCCATCCCCCCTCGTAAGCAATGTCAAGCACTAACCAGTGGCCAGGGATGACGTCGATTACGATGCGACATGCATCGCTCAACATATCAAAGAAGAGAAGACACGAGCAGGAGATGAGACAGGAGTCTGGCTCAGCAGCTTTCGAGCCAAGGAGATCCTGCTCCAGTCGTCCCGTCTACTCCGGCTCCAGGTTCGGGCCACTCAGACGCCTTTTCAAAGATAATGGCTTCGCAAATGCCCAACTCGCACGGGCAATTCGTTAAGCGCGAAGACCCAGCTCTCGCCCGCCACAGACACTACCCATGCCTGGCGCATATGATGCCCGCTGGGATGAGCCTTACGGGCCCAATTCGTACAACTCTATGCCATCGACGGCTTTTGGTGCCCGGGTCAGAGCCCTTTACGACGACTCCACAGGCATTTCCTCACAAGCCACTGCCGACCAGTACAAGCTTCAGCCCAGGTGCTCTGAATCAGTCACCTGGTGTCAACGGGCTTCCTTCGTACGGGAGCCCCTTTGCGCATCCCTATCAAGCAGGACGGCCGGGAGCAGTCGGTTTCGCACCGGCTTCGAGCATGTATGGCCCCCAGGACTCCAGCCTTGCCGAGCTCCGGCAGCGTGAGCCTGCTTGATGCCATTGACAAACCCAGCATGCTCGACTATGCCAACCAGCTCGACGCTGAAGGAAATCCCTTTGCCGACAGGTTATCCAGCTTTCTTGACCACGCGTACCATGATCCCAATGTGAGCGAAAAGGAGTTGGACGAGCTGCTGCAAAACATTCGCCCGGACATGGACATCCCGGATAAGCATCGGACGGGACGCCGGCAGGACTTAAGCAGTCACTCTACCACCACCAGGAACTCGCCTTGTCTTGGATGAAGAAAATGGAGGAGGGTACCAACAAAGGCGGCATCTTGGCCGACGACATGGGTCTCGGCAAGACGATATCCACCCTGGCTCTCATGTTGGCAAGACCTGCCGTAGGGCGACCCAAGGTAAGTCGGGGATGTCTGGGGGGCACCGTGAACGAGCTTGGTTCCGCTGACACCAAGTAGACGAACTTGATTATCGGGCCGCTCTCGCTAGTACGCCAGTGGGAGGAAGAGATTTCGAAGAAGACTAAGCTCTCGCATCGCATGTCCGTCTTCGTATATCACAACACCAAGGCGATGACGGATGACTTGCTCAGATACGACGTTGTCCTAACGACGTACGGCACAATCGCTCAAGAACTAAAGCGGCTGGAGAAGTTCATGGAGGACAACGCCGATCGGAACATTGACTTAAACGACAGGGCCAACGCTCTCAAATTTCCCTTGCTGCACCCGACCAAAGCTGTCTTTCATAGAGTCGTGCTCGACGAGGCACAGTGCATTAAGAACAGGAAGACCAAGACGGCGAAAGCCTGCCACGCGCTCAAATCCACATATCGGTGGTGCCTCACTGGTACCCCGATGATGAATGGGGTCCTCGAACTCTTCTCTCTTGTTCAGTTCCTCCACATCAAGCCTTACTGCGTGTGGGAGAATTTTCGACAGGTTAGTCCAGGACGACTTGGTTTGTGCTTGATTGAATAACATACTGACGGCCCGCAGGCGTTTGGCATCCTTTGCGGTCTCAAGGGCGATGCAAGAGCGTCGCCATGAGCAGGCTTCGAGCTCTTCTCAAGGCTATCATGCTGCGAAAGAAGGACTCGCAGCTGAATGGGAAACCCATTCTCAATCTTCCTTCGAAAGACGAAAGCATAGTGTATGCTAAGCTTTCTCCCGACGAGAGGATTCTACAAGCAGCTTGAGCAGAAGTCCCAGGTTCTATTCAGCAAGTACCTACGCGAAGGCTCTATCGGCAAGAATTATTCCAACATTCTCGTTCTCCTCCTCCGCATGCGGCAGGCTTGCTGTCATCCGCACCTCAACCTGGACGTGGACGATGCCACCCAGTTTGGCAAAGAGAAAGTGGACGAGAAAATGGTGCAACCGATCAAGAGGCTCAGCAAGGCCACTGTGGAAAGGATCAAGGCGATTGAGGCTTTTGAATGCCCGATATGTTTCGACGCTGTCCAGTCTCCATCGTTCTTTATCCCATGTGGCCACGACGGCTGCAAGGATTGTGTCACGCGCTTAGTCGACAACTCTGCGGCCGCCAACCTGCAAGCTGGAGATGAAAGCGACAAGGCTAAGTGCCCTGTGTCGTGGCACTTTTGACGGCAAGAAGTGCTTCACGTACGAAGCGTTTCGGAGCGTTCACATGCCCGAAACTATGGTCAAGCAATCAGAGCCTGGCGTCGAGGACTCATCCAGCGACGACGATTCCAAGTCGGAGTCTGAGGTTGACACGGAGGAGGTTAACGCCAAGGGGAACTTGCGAGGTTTCGTCGTGGAGGATGACGACTCGGACCACGTGGACCACGCCAAGTCGCAAGCCAACAAGGCTGACAAGACTCCCAAGAAGAACAAAAAGGGCAAGAAAAAGCCGGCCGACGTCAAGCCATCCATGCTGAAGAGCTTGCGGCTAGAGGCAATCAAGAATCGGGAGGCGTACAAGCGATATATGCGCTACCTGCGAAAGACGTGGATGCCAGCGGCCAAAGTCACCGAGTGCATGAACCTTCTCAAGAAGATTCAAGAAACGGAGAAGACCATTGTCTTTTCTCAGTGGACCCTACTTCTGGATTTACTACAGGTGGCCATGTGGCATGACAAGTTCAAGGACAAGCCGGAGCGGTACGATGGCAGCATGTCGGGCGAGGATCGTGCCCGGGCTGCCAGAGACTTCCGGGACAGGGACAACGTCAAGGTCATGCTGGTGTCTCTCCGAGCCGGGAATGCGGGCTTGAACCTCGCGTCTGCCAACAATGTCATCATCATGGACCCTTTGGAATCCATACATCGAGATGCAGGCTGTGGACCGTGCGTACCGTATCGGCCAGAAACTGGAGGTGAAAGTCTACCGCATCCTCACCGAGGAGACGGTCGAGGACCACATCATCGCGCTGCAAGAGCGCAAAAGGCGATTGTTGAGGCGGCACTGGACGAGACCGAGAGCATGAAGATTGGTCGCCTGAATGTCAACGAACTCAAGTTCCTTTTCAACACGAGGGACTAGCGTGGAAACGCACGGCGCCTTGCCCCAGTTGCTGCGAAGGTCTCTTCTCCTTGCTCTGTCTTTGCTACCGGGCTTGGGGATCATGCATATGTCCCCGACGAGGCACGAGAAAGCGGCGGAGGGCGAATTTTCCTAGTATACATGGGATATGGCAGGGAGCCGAGTGGACGTCCATGGGTCTGATGAGAATGTGGCTTTAGACGAACGTATGTACGCGTCGCGAGCAGCACAACGAAGAGGCTTGGGTTTCTAGAGACTAGACGTCTATAGAGCTAGATGTGCACAGCATCAATCCATCGCCGCATGCATGTCCTTTCGATATCCGCGTGACTAGCTTGCCTAGTTGGGGATGGGGAGGGTGTCGTGACTGGCACGTCGGTATCTCGAGTGCGGAGACAAGTCGCACATATGGGTCAAGATACGATCAAGCCGGCGCGAATGATTGTTATGTACATGGTCAAGTGCATGGGTATATATATATACATGTACATCCCTAAGCCTCGCGGGCAGATTCTGCTTCCCTACCAAGACGACTCACCCGTCACGGGGCATGGCGGCCGTGCTTGCGAAAGTCGAGCACTACTTGTACATGTGGCAGCCTCTTTGCTGCGACGGACCGCAAGATCAGAGACCTTTGCTACAACGAGCACTGCGAAATTCGAAATCAGCTGGCCGACATCAGCTCTCGTCTCGGCGCCTTAGAAGCTCAACTTGCCAATACCAAACCCGTCTGTCAGGGTGCCACAGCACCAAGGATCGCAAACGGCATGCCAAACAGGACCCGCAGCAGCAGCGAGACCAGCCACCTCATGGGCCCGCAGAGCAGGCGCTGGATGACGAACCACGCGCGTCGCCGAAGCGGGGAAGGCATCGGAAAACCTGCCCAGAGGGCGAGCGGAGCCGCGAAAACAGTAAACAAAGTCAAGCTCTCACGGGTCTGGCTTGAAATAACCAAGGGAGTGACCGTCATGAGTACATGTTGAAAGGCCCAAGAGAGCATGGTGGAGGGTCGGAGGGCTCTGGAGGTCTGAAACAATCGGGGCCGATACCACGCTGGAAGGAGTACATTTTGCGCTGATGACGGACGTTCTTTTCTTGAAGTCGAGATTAACGGCGGCAGCCACCATAACGCTGCAATGGAATGACGAGACCGAAGCCTTCGAAGGGCAGGATATGCTGAGGGAAATGAATCTCCTTATCGGTTACGATGAGATCTTTAAGATGCTCTGCCACCCCTATCAGGCGTGTAGGGACTGGCGGTTTTGTCAAGTATGAGTACTCTCACGAAGAGAGCATGCAAGTGGGCATTGATTGTTTTATATTAACGGAGGTAGCCGTAGGCAGAGAAAGTGGACAGCGACGTAAATTACCGTCGCTCGAATTCAGTGCCCTCAGAGCGATACCAAGTGCTCCGTCGACCGTTCAGTACCGGATTTAGTCGCTACGGACAGTTGCATCTCCACCTCTCCATCTACCCGTTTCCTCTGGTGCTCTCTTATCATACTGTCCAGGGGGTACTGCTGGCATAAATAAAATCGCCAGGCAAAGTCCACACTGACCTCCAAACTGGTGCCTCACCCAACCAGTCATAGAACATACTAGGAGCACAGATGATGCTAGGAATACCATTCCGCTTACTGCTCCAAGCCACGGTACCCCCTGGTTTGACGTCGGTTGCTCTGGCTGAGGCTGGTTAGAGCGCCGGTCAACACGACGAAAACGTTGTGTCTTCTTCCATATCGCAATAACCATAATAACGGTAGTCAAGTGAGACGCCATTGGAGCAGCCCACCAGTATTCGACGCCAGATAGCCCGATTTGCCAGACTGTCGCCCCAATAAAGGGAAGGTGAAAGACTAATGCTAGTCCAAAAATAATGATTCTCGCCTTAATGCAGGGGCCAGGCTCGACGACGCGAGAAAAATAGGCATAAATCAAGGGATCGACAACTTGAATAAGCTGTAAACCATGAGTATATCGTGGGGATAACTAGACGGCCTGAATGGGGAGTACCTCGATGATGTCGACGCATAACATGGTGGCCCCTTTCCAGGCTGTGAAGAAGGGGTAGGCAAGGACAGCAGGTAGGAGTGCATTTCTCGCACTGCTGAACAAAGCGGCGAATATTAATCCGGTACCCAAGAAGAGACATGCTGTGGGAATCAACGACCAAGTTCGCCTACGTGAAGCTTCTCGTGGCTTGACTCTGATCATCCAGTACAGGTAAGGCCCCAGAAAGACCGTGGTCACGGCAAACACGACACCGGCCTCGGTGACCTCCTGATGGTAATCTCGTCCTGCATGTCGAAATGCAGCAACATTGAACGATGGAGAGAGCGGAATTCTGACTTGGAGTAATGAGAATATGAGCACCGGGCTTACCGGAACAAAGTGCTTTATATAGACGTTTAAGTCATAACAGCGAATATTGGTATATAGCAAGTAACGCTCAGATGAAGAGGGCTACAGTACATTGTCCAGTCGCCTTACAACGGGAAGACATACCTAGAGTAAGGTGGTGATGGGGTGCTTTGTGCATAGTACGGTTACACCATCATTGTCTTGAGACTGGGCTATACCGTAGTCGATATGATGATTTACATACATGAGGCGGGTGAGCTTCCTCCATGTCGAAACGGCCTGGTCAGAGTAGGGTTGGCGGAACGGCATGTCTTCAACCAGTCAATGCGTTTGGCCCCCGGTTACGAGGCCATCCAGTAGATCGGCATCACCAGCCGTGTATTCATCCTGGTTCATGCACTTTGGCTTGCATGCGTCTAAGTTCACCTTGATTAGGGAGGTCGGAACGCCATGGGCCTGTGCAGAGGCAACTTGCCTGGGTCTGCAGTCAAAATGAACATGGACGTGACAACACCATGAGCTCCCTGGACCAAGGAAGTGAGGTCAAAACATGAGCAGAAGGCGTCATTGATCCATTCCACATTGGGGTTGTGACATAACAGCGCAGATCTAGGAAAGCGTGACTCTCAGCTGTGACAACTCCGCAGGATGGGCTTCGTACTGGCTCGGGAACCTGTCTCTCACCTGGTCGTCCTGGATCTCGGCCTCGTTGGGGCTGTTGGTCGTGAACATTAAGGAAAGGCAGGACTGTCGGGAGGGAAGGAGGGAACACAGGATAGATTACTGAGATCGAAGAGATATGCTGTTACTTAGGCGATTCCTCCGGTTTGTTCTGTCTCCTCAAGAATCTTCTCCATCGCTCTTTTCAAAAGTGCTCTGCCCTTATCGCGGTCTAACTCATCAACCGAATACCATCCTTGACCTTCCATGAAAATAGCGCTCGCACCGCAACTCGCTAATTTGACAAATCTTCTGGACTCTTCCTGCCATATTTCGCGCATACTTCTTTCCATTTCGGCGCTAATGCTCTTGAAAACCGCCCCTCCCACACCGAACTTGAAAGGCCCCAAGCCTTTCTACCCTCACTGAGCTTTCGATAGTTCCAGTAACGGAGTAGAGACGATTTATCTTTGAGGTCGTGGAAACTATCGCGGAGTGTTTGTCCTGCATACACTGACAAGTTTCAGTGATGATCTGAAAGGGTTGGACTCCAAGTCGGCACGGCTCGTCATGGCTGCACTTCTTCTGATCAACATCGTTGAGGTGACCGCAATTCATCGAGCCTTGGGTGACAATATGTGATGCCATCGTTTTATTGCAGGTAGCTGTTGCGGAAGACTTGTTATGGTAATGACCGTGTCCATGTATGCGCCATGGGATACTTTATAGGTCAGAAGTTCAGCTCTACAGCTTTTACCAATCTCCTTACGCTTACATTGAGAAGGCGAGGTATAGAAGCTGTCACGAAACTTAGTCTCATTACTACGCTTTGTCGTTGGCCGTGTCACCTGCGGCGTGCATGCCAAGTGCAGGGCCGTTACAAGGTCAATCAAGCAAGACGTACGGCTGCTGCAGAGAGCTAGGTAGTAGCTACCGCAATCACCCACACCGGATGATCATTTCGGGCTTAGGACCAGGCTTTGTTACACCCTCAAACAAGGCCGATGGGTACTGTAGCGGGACATAGAATGCCGCTATGTCCTAATTAACAGGCACTCATAAAGTACCACAGCTTTGCTGCTCAATATGGGATGCATTTGAAGATCGCTCGGCGGCGTGGCTGCAGGCTCTTCGCATCAGCCGCATGCACGCGTCAGGGTCGGCAGGCTGCCCACCACCAGTGCAGATACGATTATTTGACCAATCATCTGAGCTTCCTGCCAGTGAGCGGGCCGGCACGTCTTCCACTGTCAATGCAGTCGGCCCCCTGTCTGGCTAGGTATTCGATAGATCGTCACGGGTATGGGTATGGCAACCCCCTGGGTTGCGCAAAAAAGCTTTGAGGAACGAAGATAAAGGTCGGATAAAAAGAACGGGATAACAGAACGGCAGGGAAAGTAGGTACCTACGGGCGACTGTAGGCCAGACTGTCTCAAAACGCATTTTGGGCTGTGGGCACCCCGGGGTTAGATTACCCGATCGGGTCTAAGTGCAACTGGGTAACTTGTATATACCGATACTCTTCTATTAGCATAGGGCATTGAAAGAAATGAAAGTAAGCGTTCGCTCTGCGCATTGGTACACATTTTCAGTGCTTTTCTCCTTCTACGATATCATTGAGCCCGAATAGCGCTTTACTCAGTTAAACAAATATGCCTCGACCACAAATTGATCTTTCCACAGTTCAGGAGGAAATCACCGGCTTGCATCGAGATGGATCCTCTATTAATACAATCCGTACGCATCTTCTCGAGCATCATCAGCTTCAAGTAAGCCGCGCCAGTCTCTATCGATCGATCAAAGACTGGGACTTCTTCGTCAAGCACGTACGATCACTTCAGATACCTTACGGGACCGAATTAGGTCGCTATTCTTTGATGAATGTCTTAAGGATGATTTCATGCTTAAACGACTTAGAGACGAGGGGTTTACGATCTCAAAGTTCCGTCTTGAAAGAATTCGGCTTGAAGAGGGCTCTA